GTAGTAGTAGAAGTAGTAGTAGTTGATCCTGAGTGAGGTCCTGCATCCAGTATGAGAAGTTGATTGCTGTCAAAAGTCATTGTACAAAGCGTCCGTTTGCAAAACTTTGCCCAGTCCATTGTCTGACGTTCATGTTGTTAATGCACCTGTACAGTTATGAATCACTGCTTGGAGCTTCGGCTCGGGTGATCTAGAGGGTGCTTGGCCTTTAGAGGAGGCCCAAACAGGATGCCCAGGCATACAGTATACGCTTGCGCAAGCCGGCTTCTAAGAAGTCGCTGGGAGACGCTGGACTACGGACACGTGGTTGCGCCAGAAGTAGTTGATGATCAGTAAGGGAGTGTTCTACAGATGATTTTGTTTGCCAATGGGGGTGCTGCACCATCCCCGTTCCCCGCCTTTGTTAAGGCCATCCCTGCTTCCCATCGTTCATCCTTTTACATCATGTCAGGATTCCCCATGGTGTTTCATCGTGTTTCATCATCTCTGATCATCTTTCAGCAATTTCCATGATTGTTCATCATCTTCATCTGATTTCGCCACTTGCCATTGTTGTTCATCCTTGTCATCACTTTTCAAGAACATTTCTCCTAATCTACATGCCTTCTGATCATGTATTTTCATGTCTCCTCAAAGTCATCAACTTTCATCAACACGATTTCCATAATTTTCCATCATCAAAAAAGTGTTGTGGCTATGTTTGCAGTCAGGCAAGATTTTGCGGATCATGATGTTGGCAAGTGGGAGGGGCTGCGCCTCCCCCAACCGCCCACCCATTTATTTAAAGGCCTCCAAGGTTGCTGCAACAAAAAGCGTCATGTCATCAGTAAGGGAGGGTTATGAAGATCATTTTGTTTGCGAATGCCCCCCCCCCCCAACTCCGCCTCCCCCCAACTCCGCCTCCCCCCAACTCCGCCTCCCCCCACACCCCCCCCCCCAACACACCCTCCCCCTTCCCTTGTTAAGGCCATCCATGCTTGCCACTGTCATCGTATCGTTTAAAATCATCTCATTACTTTCCGCGATTCCAACCCCCATCTTTTTTTGTGAGGCCATCCAAGCTTGCCGTAACAAAAAAAAATCATGTCACCAGTAAGGGAAAGTTATGCAGATCGTTTTGTTAGCAAAAACGGGGGTCGGCGCCAAAAGGGTGCTGGCACTATGACATGTTTCGGCTGCGCCCCCCATGCTCCCCCAACCCCTGACCTCCTTTTAAAGACATCCATGCTTCATTTTCTCATATGTTTATCGTCGTGTTTGTTCAGAATTTTCATAATTGCTCAGCATCATTTTCCATCGTTTTCATCATTTTCATCATTTTCATAACTTCGCATGATTTTTCTTTCATGATTTTTATGAATTTTCATCATGTTCAGCATTTTCATGATTGTCCATGATTTTCCATGATTTTCATAGTTTTCATCATCTTCATTTATTTTTATCATGTTTCATCATTCTTCACGATTAATTGTTCATAACTTTCAGGTTTTCGTTTTTCATGATTTTCATCCAAATATATACATATATCTTTCATTATTTGTCCTCACTTTCATTATGTTTGATTGTTTTCCATTTCTTCATGAACTTCATCATTCTTCACAGTTTTTGCTTCAGACTCGTGCTTCGAGTGAGGCATCCTTCGATTTCAGGCCCACAGCCAAAAAGAAAGTCACACAAAAATATGCAAACAAAAACAACAACATTCTTATTGTCCTTTACTATTGTTACATTGGTTATGAATGCTGATATCATTGCTCTCATTCTCATTTCTCTGGAGTCACACTGTTTTTAGCCTGATCGCCACTATCATCGCGATAAAAATAAATTACACTGCGAGTATTGTTGCAACCAGTACTTTTGTCATCTCTAAGATTGCTATTGCTACTTGTTTGGCCATTATTATTATCTTGCTATCATTCTTCCTATGTTTTAGCATGATTTTTGTTTTTGTGGTCGTTGCTGTTATTCTTCTTCTTGTTTATATCTTGAGTTGCAGCAGTTCTCATTTTTGTACTGATCAATCATCGCTCTTGTCGGTACTTCGGTGCGGAGCTGTCCTAGTCCTGTCCCCTTTTCACGAGACTGTTGTGCACTCCCTGCCCGCTATAGAGAGCTATTGACAGTATTTGAATCGTCGAAGAGCTTCAAAATCTGCAATCTGCAGTGCCTGTCGCCTCCAGAAGGCAGGGCAGGGAGGTTCTGCTGAGGCACACCAAAATGTGACCAAGAAAAGCAATCAAGATAATGTCAAAGCAATCTTTGGGGCCAATGCAAGCGACAGCTCTTGCTGCCTGTATAGTGTCATATGTGAACCGGGTCACAGCAAAGCTAAGTATATTTGAGGCCGATCTAAGCCCAGGTCATGGCTTGGTAGCCACGCAAGTGCCTTTGAGGTGATGGCTGTTACGGAAGGGAGACGAGATTCGGAATCAGCAAAAATTAAAAGGGGAACACTGTTTCGCGGAGCCTCCGAACGCTAAAGAATGTTTTTTTCCTACAGAGCCGGCTTACCTGTCCGGAGGGAGCGTCAGCAGATAGGCAGGAAGCTAGACTGAAGCCGGAGAGATACGTGCAGAGTGCACCCGTGTCGAATTATGCACTTGCTGTCAATGTGAATGTCGTGCAGGCAAGAGCTCGTCGCTTTTCTGCACATGTGGGTTTCGTTAGAGACGCGGTATTCACTTCGTTTCCAAAGCGCTATCTGCAATTAGTGTAATTTCCCTTTTTCAGAATGAAGTCGGGGCGAGATTTGAAGATGTGCATCTGCGTCTCTGAGGTGCTTGCCAGGTAGTCAGAAGACAGGTAGAGATCGTCTTAAGGCCTTGTGATAAATCATGCAGTACAAAAAGCTCTGCAAGGAAGAGCTGCGAGCAGCTGAAGCACGAGCTGATGCCATGGAGCCAGACGGTGTTGAGACAAACTTGCCGAGCATGCCGAGCGTGCCATGCTCTCAAAGTCTGAAAACGAGAGAGCTGTAGCGCCTCCGGCACTTTGCAACTTCGAGGTTACCGGCAGCAGCGTTTCCAGGCCAACACAAAACTTTCTCACAGATTGTGAAGGGGCATAGTGTTGGCCTTGCGTTGCATTTGCCATTAACAGGCCCCGCTTCCGACACGGCCGTGACGTCCTTAACCTTGGAACGTCAGAATATGCAGTTTGATGGCCGAATTGGTGGGGGCACGGTAACTTCATGTTTGGCCTTCTTGGCTTGCTTGATAGCAGCTGAAAGCACACGTGCTTGCATTTAACACCGAACGAAACGGACCTCCTCCTGCAACGGTTCGTTTGCTCTGTGCCAAATTTCGTGGAGTTTTGCCTGGAGCCATAATTCAGCACATTCCTTCCCCAATCCACCACTTGTGAGCGAGCAGCTTCCTAAAGCCCGCCTTGGCCGGTCAACTTTGACAAGCTCGCAGGGTGAAGGTCTTGCACTAAAGGCATTTTCCCGGATGTGGGGTTGCCCGAGCAGTTGTGCCACTCCTATACAGACTCCAGCAGCCTCTAGCATCCTTTAGCCGCCGTGATGGCGGTCAACTCGGTCCCCTGGAGGGGGCTGTGCCCCAAGGTGGTTCCCAAGAAGTCGCCTGTCGCTGCCAGCCGGCGGCCGGGTTAGCATGTGAACGCTTGCCGGCGAACCAGCCATGCCATTCCAGAAAAAACATCCAACCTCAGTGGCTTGAGCGTAACTGCTCGTAACACTATCTGACCGAATGCACACTTATGAGTGATGTGTGGTATTTTCCAGCATCCTAGACTTGCAAGCTTGAGGCCTTGGTTTGGACTGCACGGGCACATGCGGAGAACAGCCGCTTGGAAAAGGAGCTGAAAAGCCTGCGATCTTTGGCAACAAGGCTAGCGGAAGCATGCCGCAGTACCAGGCTGAATTGCACTTTGGGAGCAGTTGTAAGCGGCTTGTCAGGCAGCGCGGCGAGGTGCAATGGTTGCATGAATTGCGGAAGCAGCTGACAGATTCCCGGCAGGAGGTCTTCTGCTGTGTATGCTTTCATACTGACATGGCGTTCTGCATGGAGGAGCTGGAGCGCGATCACCAGCAGCTCGTGGAATTGCAGCAAGAGGTTCTGAATTTTGGCGAAAATCATTGGCAGGGAGCGAGCGTGCCGTTATACAAGGACGCGGAGGCACAGCTGCGGGAGCAAGAAGTCAACCGGCGCCAAGAGCAGCGACTGGAGGCTTTGATGCAGGCGGTCTTCAGCAGTGTCCGCATGTCCATAGGAGACGACCTAGGTAAGCATGCATGATCACCACAAGGCCTTTTGAACACCATCTTCCAAAACAATGCTCTGGTTGGCATCCAGCGAGACGCACCTACATGGAGTGCACGTTCCACGTGCCCGTGGCACGTCAGAACTACAAAGATAAATGGCAGCAACACTGTCCACTGTGTGGCCCTGTGGCCTGGGATAGACGGAGGAAATCAGAGGTCCACCCTGAACCTTCAAAAAGCATGGCTGTTTCGTGGGCACCAGAGGGTGAGGGCAGGGCAGCTTGTGTGTAGAGCAACGTATATGAGAGAACAGACGGACGTAAAGCCGGGATGTGTTTGAAGCTGTTCAAAGTGCTCTGGCATCCGAATATCAGATCACTTAAAAGCGTTGATTAGTCAGCACAATTCTCCGTTATCGGCGTATTCTTCAGATCAATTGAACAGCGTCATCAAAGGTTGCTGTTTTGTACCATCGATGATCTTCTTGGGCATGTGTGTTAGCATTGTGATTCTCATTTCGCGGAATAGCTCTTGGCTTCCTAATTGTGGACAGGTTTGCATGTTCTTATCCTTCACTTCTTTGCCATGCCCTGCAGGAACGGCAGGAACGCTGCAAGCGTATCGAGCAGCGAGAGCGCGAGCTACAAGAGCAAGAGCTTGCTCATGCACCTCGGAGCATGTGGGATGCCATCGGAGGGGTGCTCCTGGCAATGTTTCTGCCAAGGATCTAGAGCAGCAGCGGCTACTGCGGAAAGAGCAGGCGTCCCAAAGTACTTGTTATGTGCCACTTCAGTCTTGCGCGCTTGAGGATCTGCAGCAGCGGGAGAAGGAGCTGCAAAAAGAGAAGGAGAGAAGCCTTCACCAAGCAGAGGCAGGAATACTGATGGAGCTTTTTCAGTCCAACATGTGCACCTGAGCGCAAAGCAGGGCCATCCTTGCAAGGTGTTGCGGGGTCAAGAGCTGGACTTCTCCCGGGAGCTGGGATGGCTGAAAGGTAGCAAGGGCATTCGTTCAGAGGCTTGGCTGGTATCAAGCAATCTGCTAGCGCATTGAATAGCGGTACTTGGGCAGGGATGCGGCTGTCAGCTGTCCTGAAGGAGATGCCTTCACCACCAAGTGCCAGTTCAGATCGCTTGGAGCCCGAGGATCTCAGCATTGCATCCGCCAATGCGAGCAGACCTAGACGGGGAAGACTCAATGCCGCTGCAAAATTTTGGCCTTCGTAGGAGGAGGCAGAGGCAGACTCAGCCGAAGCGGCCGCGCAGGCAGCGTGGGCAACTTTGCCAGGCTTTTGACTTTTCAAGCTTGCGTGAATCTGGAGGCCGTCGCGCAATCGTTGGAAAACAGGAAATTGCGACGCGAGCTTGAGAGCCTTCGAGCACTGGCACAATGGCAGCAGAGTGAGGCGTGCGTTGACATTGAGTTGTTGCAGGATGCTGTTGCAAGTGTTCGAGCAGTCTCGGCCAGGTTGGGGCTGTTCTTGCCTGTCGCTCTGCTGACGAATCCGGCGAATCCCAGCCCTCTGACTTCACTGGTGCTTGGTGCTGAGGCAGTCAGTCGTAATATGTCGTACTACTATTAGACGCCGAGGCCAGACATGATAGGGCCTCGCTCACAAGGCAAGATAGACGCAGAAAGCAGATGCAGAATGCCGTAGATATTTATAGATCTTTCATGCACTATCTCAACGCAAGTCGTGTAGGTCATGCGGCAAGCTCCACACGTCCCAGAGGAGAAGAATTTGCCTTGCCTCATTTGCACGCCTGTAGTTCCAGCCTTTCGTTGCTCGATGTTTCTTAGCGTCCCGGAATCTGCAGGATCGCTTATGATGGCGGCGCTTGCCGGTGAAGCCCTGGCAGAACGAGCGGATAGACTGCAGGCAAGATCGTGCTGCAACATCGTGCAGATACTGAACTATTCTGGCTGTGGAGGCCCATGGCCGACCCATGGACGTGCAGATTTGTGCGTGTGGAAAGCCTTTGGTACCTCTGCAAAACACGTCGGTCAGTGCAATGCTAGCAAGGTGCTTCTGCAGAGCTTCAAACTGGCAAGGCACCTGACGCACTCTTCTGCCACCACTGCGGCCGGCCAGCGCCAGGCCAATCTCGCAAAGGCGTGGAGGGCGCTGCCATGTCCTAAGCATGGTGTGTACGTGTGTGTGTTTGGTACATGCCTAGGTGGGCAGGCAACCCGCCAGCCAGACGCCAATGGCCAGGACCATTGCATGGTGGGTGCTTCGTCTGGTTCTCTCCAAGCATACCTCTTCTATGGTTGCTTTCTTGAAGGGTTCTGGGAGGTGTGTTTGAGAAACATGTTTTGGACTCTTTTCACTGACCTCACCCATCATGTTTTGGAAAACATCCCATCAATCCATTCTCCCCTTCCCAGAAAATGACGATGGACACGTAAGATGACAATGTGGCGCGGGAGTGTGTCATGATCTGCCTCGCCCTTTGTACAAATCTTTGTTATCATTCTTAATTTCCCGATATTTCCCGTTTAGTTCAGGACCCTTCAACCACTCGTCAGCACCAGGGACTGCGAAGCGGCATTGAGGAACATCTGATTGCCAACCCATGCAAGCCCTCACCAGATCAATGTCGAAGAGCCGAGGAGTACGACCGCACCGTCCGTGAGTTAATGTCACGGGTTCTGGGCCGACCAGATGAAGGCGTCAGACACGTTAGTCTGACATGTGCAAGCCTTTTGCAACTTTGGCTGCTGCTCTGCCAGTGCAGGCTCCAGCAAGCAGTTGATTGAGCCTCTGGCGTAGCGGTGCCAAGTTCGTTTGTCTTGACCGCCTGACCAGAGTCGTTCTGAATTTCAGCGTTTCACTGTTTGAGCGGGTTGTTACAGAGCTGCTGTAAGCCATGTGTGACACGACATACCTGTTCCTTCCTGCACGCAATGCTGACAACAGCATCTGCCGCTGCCTGCCTGTACACAGATAATGCCTGCAAGTTTTGCGGTCCAAAGAGACAGACCGCACCTCCCAAAGACAGAAACGTGACCTGCGCTGTGGTGTTGGGTGCTCCGAACCAATCCGATCCCAAGCTCGCTTCCAAAATCACACAGCTGGGACCCTAAAACACGCAGCCATGCGATGCTGGGTGCCGCTGTTTGCAACAGCTTGGAGATGATTGTCGCCAGCATCCGCCGATTTTCTATCCCTGTCAGCTGCCCTTGTCCAGAGGCAGTGCCGAGCCATAGCTTTCCAGCGATTGCAACTACCATCTAAAGACAACATGCAAACGAGCAGCAGCCCTGTAGAGAGAAGTTCTCTCATTTCACAACATGGCAGCCTCTTGCACCCAAACCCGGATTGAGGCCAGATGCGGACACTTTGACCTAGAGTCTGTGGATTTGAAAACTTAACTTCGTGAAGTATGGCTCAAACTTGCATCGCTTGAAGCTTGACACGAACGTGTCCATGGCTTGCATAAGAGCCGCTTTTTTCTGGGCCGCAACCACCGTACCCTTCGCCTATGCAGTTGAAGATGTGTCCAGCTTTTTGAGCATTTGGAGAGACCTCACCAGTTCAGCCTATGGCCCTTGCCCTCAGTGCCAGATATATCCATATGATGCATGGGGGCCAGCAATCCGAGCTGGCACCTGCCACGATTTGACAGTGCGCTCGAAGTCTACTGCTAGCAACGTGGCGAAGATTACTTGTTCTGTGGAAGATGGCCGCAACGTTTATAGATTTCCAACTGGAATTTTTGAAATTGAGGAGCAGCTTCTGGTTCCGGAGAGGACGTGCATCATTGGTGCCCGCGATCCCAATGATTGGCAAGATCCAAGGAAGACACCAAGATGGGAAGAGCAAACTCTCTTTCTTGCAGCCCGAGGTGTCGTGGAGTATGACATGGTTTATTGTCATGCCGCAGACATGGTCACAACACGGGTCGGCTTTGTGCTCAGCAGCTATGTGACTGTGCAAAACGTAAGCTATCAAGGCATTGATACCATTCGACCAAACGATAATGGAGCGCTTTGCGGTGGCGGTGCTTTTGAGACGAAAGGTTGTGCAGAAAACAGCTGCAAGGTCTCCGCGGTAAACAATGGCGGCTCAGATGGCTTGGGCTCGGCGTATGTTTCGATTGAGAACGTGCGGTTGAATGACTTCTTTTTTTCTGATGACCAGGCCAAGGTAGGAGCTCCAATACCGGGAAATTATAACTGCAAAACGGACAAATGGACGGAAGAGTGCTGCTTTTGCAAGCCAAACGGTGTGCGCTCGACCCAGGTGGGTATTTGGGTTCCTGAGACGCGGGATTCCACAGGAACGCGAAATTTTCTTGTCAAAAACTTGGTGTCCAGAACAGCGCAGGCTGATGCCGTTAATTTGCACGGCAACCTGCAGGGCGCTCTTGTCGAGTCTGTGTACTTCGAGAACACTGGCGATGATATGTATGTGCTTTGGGGTGCTGATGCCAATCCGGAAAATGTTACCTTCCGAAGCTGCACTGCTGTCAATCCGGGAATTATGCGTCCCAACTGGTATGGCAACTGTGCCGCAACCTATGGTCTTAAGTCTGTCATGTTTGACAGCATCACCTGCAAAGCTCCTGCCCCACGTCATCCTATTCTGCAGCCAGAAAGTGGGGAGTCTTGCATTGACACGTCAATGTTTGTTTTCTACACCAGCTTTGGTGGCAGCTATCCTGCTAACAACAGAATCACTATCAAAAATTGGACGTTTCAAGACTTGGACGGTAAGGCATACACTCCTGACGAGGGGACACTGAATGTCTATTCACTGGGAAAAATGGTTTGGACGAGATCCACCGATCAAGTGCTAGCGCCCTTTTATCTACCTCATCAAAAACAGCAGGTCAACGTACATGTGGTGTGATAGGAATGCCCCACAAGAGTGGTGAATGTACAGAAATTGTGGAAACTTTGCGTGTGATCCATGTTAAAATGGAGCGCGTCCTGGCAGTCGAGAGCTGGCCCTGCTGACATCATGCCTCCCATGAAGAACCAAAAAGCTTATCTGTGGCAGCGTTGCACATGGACAGGCTGCTTTAACAGCTCAGCGCGCCTTCATGGACAAGTGGGGCGAGCAGTTGGGAACCGACTTGCCGATTTTGGCTTGGCTGCTTCATTGCTGTCATAGCTGGGCTGGTTTGTAGTCCCTTCTTTGAGGCTGGAGCAGATGCTGCAGATGTGCGTCGTGCTGGTCCCCGTGCAGGCACAGCGTTTCATTTACGAACAAAGTTTTGTTGTGAACCGTTCAGGAAGACGACGACGACAAAGCAGGATTTTGGAGCCAGGCTTAGTCCAAAACGTGTATCCAGCAAATTTGAGTTTTGGCGTGAAGAAAGCCTGGATCAGGCTGTTTACTCCCTCAGCGACCTGTTTAACTTGCATAGCCCTTGGTTCGTTTTTTGGCCGACAGCATTATCGTAGGATAAGAGTGACACCTCGTGAAGAAGCAAGGTATCGAACGGTGGTGCTACGCAGCCCGGAAGAGCCTGGCACTTGGCTCTACGATGCTCCACAGTCTTTTGGTCTTTAGCATTTTGCATGCCACGTTTCGCTCACATCTTTCCTGAGGATTCCGGTTTGTGACAAACAGAATGGAGGTTGTGGGGAGGGTGCTGCTGTTCAGTGTATAGCATTTGACGCTGTCACGCCTCTCTTTTGTCTTGATTTTAATCCTGGACCAGGTGTTGTCAGTGTGTCGCAACCTCCCTCGAAGGAGCTTCGTCACGCACGTCTGCCTGGCACATGCTAGTACCGTTGCTTTCTTGATGCCTTTTGTACATAGATAGTTCATACTGTTACATGTCACGGGCATGAATCAGCTCTTGCCCCTGGCAGGTCTCACATACATGCTCGCTGCCTTTGCGCTACGTGCCATTCGGTCTATTCAGGCGGCAAGGGGTTGAAGGGTTGAACACCCCGAAGCTAAACTACAATCCTGCACAGGAAGGTTGCTGTGAGCATGTACTGGGCCAGGTGCTAATTGAGATGGATGCGTTTCGAAGAAGAGGCTCTATCCTGCTCGAAGTTCGAGACGCAACCAGTGGTTGTGGGTGTTACCATCCCAAACAAAATCAATGTCTGTAGACGCTGATCTGCAGACGGAAAAAAGGTGGCCATGTCAAGGTCTCTTGGCAAACTTGTTTCCAGGCTCCAAGGAGGCTCTGAAGGTCTGCACCAGGATCGAAATAGTGAAGCTGGTCTCTCACTCAGAGTTCCTGAAAAAAAGATCGGCACTATGTTGAGTGACGTGTGCAGGCTGGCTTCTAAAGTCGACACAGCTTTTTCAAACTTTTTGGATGGGCATTGTATGTCTATGCACATGTGTACTGGATGTAGTGTTCTGTTAATGAGGTGCCGCATATTTGCAAGTCGAAGTGCATGCTGAAACCTGCAACTTGATGTTGCCGGCCACTTGCTTCCAACAACTCTGCCAGAGCTGCTCGCATCCTCAGGTGTTGAAAGTCTTCCTCAGAATGCGAATGCCCTTCAGTTTCTATGTGGACGAGGTGTGGTTCAGCTCGCCAACCCGAAGCAAACAGACAGCCTTTGTTGTGGAGGTGGCTATTGAGGATGCAGAGCCACCAAAACTCCTGCTGAGCTGGCATGGTTTGTGATTTCGGTTGAGAAGCCTTGCAGTCAACTGTCTGCACCCGCAATCAGGGAACAGCGAAATGCTGCCTTGCTTGGCAAGCGGGATCAGCAGAGGCTTAGCAGCATGCAAGCCCAGATGTTGGTCATGTCGGCTACGGGTGGTAGTGTAAGGGCGGCCGGGGATGGGAAAAAACAAGACAGTGTCAGGAGCAACAGATAGTGCGGCATGTCAGGCACAACTGGCTGTGTCGGGAACAAGAGCCGTTCATCTGCGTTTCATTGATGCTGTCAGGCTGTCAAATAGGGCTTGGGGTCCCAGGTTTCTGGTTCATCTTCTCCAGTCATTTCCCTAAGTATCCGCACACTGCCCGTGACCCAAGGAAACTCATGCCCCCCCTTTTGCCTAGAAATTCAAAAAACAGCGACGAAAGGGAGACTCAGTTACATACCTTTGTTAAACCACCCTTTCACCTTACAATTGAAACAGCACACTGGGATATGAAAGCACAACTAGGAATGGCTGCTAGAGCCAGCCTCCCTCGCCTTGCAGTTTTCAGTAAGCGAACTCATTTTGGGAAACAAATGTTAAAACCCTCCAACCTTGGCTTTGAATTTGCAATTTAAAGGAACCGCTGACCGAAGGAAAGTCAAACAGCGACATTTCTTAAAACTATCCCCACTTCGCCCTGCAATTCACAGTAGCATCGAGAAACTCCAAATGCATATTTTGATACCATGCTCCTTTCGCCTTGCAATTGGCGGGCGCAGGAGCAAGGAAATGCAAGTAGAGTCATGGATTAACAGTTTTTAGTATCCTCTTTTTGCCTCGCAGTTCGACATGAGGCGACGCGAGTAGAGAAATCAATTAGCGCCACCCAATTTCACCTTAGCAATTCATGAGGAGCAGTGACGCAGGGAAATCCAAGTGGGACCATGTCTTACGACAATGGCCGCCTTTCAGCCTTGCAATTCCAAACAAGGTGATTCAAATAGAAACACATGCTAGCTCCACCCCCTGACGCCTTGCAATTGAAGAGGGACAGAGGCATAGGGAAACTGCAGAGGTGCTGTCCTTTGGGGTCCAAGAGTAGTCCAAGGTTTACGGGCCCTGTGCTTCCAAACACTTTCTCGACTGGCTTGCTGGACACATCTCTTGGGCCGTGTGTTCCTGACTGGAGATAACCTCACCACTACTCTGGCAAGTGTTCCCCACACGTGCCGCTGACACGACCGTCATCCACGCAAGCCCTGATCCAAGCTGTTGGTTCGGTCTGCATACCCGAGGACTTCCTCGGAGGCCACACCTTCTGAAGCAACAGCCCAGACGGCTTACGTGGGGCGGCCCTGAGCTTACTTTTGCGACGCCTGCTTTTGTTGCAAGCCTTGATACGATTCTCGCAGGGAGTACATACCGGTACTCAGGCGAACAGGCCGCTCTCTCAAGGCCTTGGAGGCAATCTGCTTGTCAGCGTTGTCAGCCTTCCAGCTTGAGTTTCACATTTCGATGCTCAGGCTCAAAGTTCCAATGGCGATGTCGAGCAACAGCCAACAGCTGCTCCCCCTGCGCGTCCGTGCCTTAGGGCTTGACATGCTAACTCTTATGCAGAGTCGGATGTTGTGCCCTGCGCGTACCCATTTGCGAGGTGTTGCTGCTGGGCTGCGGGAGGAGAGTGGCAAGATACTGACTAGAGTCTCGGTAGGTTGTAATTCTGGCTGTGCCTTCCACAGCTTGAGAGCTTCTGGTGCAGGACCGCAGTCCAATCACCTCGCAAATTGTTTTGGCAGAGGCTGCATTACATCATTGGCCACTGAGATGTTGACAGCACTTTTCTCTGCTGAGAGGTTTTGTATCATAGTCGCCCACTGCTTCATCTGGCAATGCTTCGTCGAAGAGGGCGAAAATCTTGGGCTGACTGAAACTTAGAAAGTTTGCTCTGACAGTGATAAACATTTGTTTTTGCGCCTTCCTGGCGCTTCTTTAGTGCTAGGCCTGGCTCGTGGCTGTCCTTCTAGACCGGATCTCTGCTGTGCCTACCTGAGCATGTTTGCACAACTTTCCACTTAGCTTTCCTACCGGCATCCTGCGCAGTGCTGTGCAGGGCTTGCTGGCACAAGAGCTTCGTCCCAACAGTGGCACCAGGGCAGCTGCCTTGGAGACGGCCGAGGCCCAAAAGGCGGAATCCTGTAGAAGACGTTTACACTCCGGAATGGACAGGTGCGGCGCCGACAGAACCAAGTCTGGTGGGCATTGCTCAGGTTTGGGACTTGCTCTAGCTTGCTGAGCCGTGCCTGGTCCGCATTTGACCGGCTCTGTGGTGTCTGAAGGTCGCCAATGTTTGACAAGCTGCTTCGCCGCCCAAGCGAGACTTTGGAAGCGGCCTCAATTTCTTTTGCCAGATGAGATGGTTTTGCGCGTGGCTGTTCAAGGATTGGATCCTCAAGAAGATTCCGGTTCCCTCCTATGCGACTGTGTGCACAGAATGCCACGCGTAAAACAGTCTGCTATGACTGCTGCCCAGGTGATCAACATGTTCAACATTGTTGAGCTAGCTCTTGTTCTACAACCTTTCTACTTCAGCACCTCAGGCCTGAATGCAGATCCGTTGCACTCAAGTGAAGTCGGGTTGCTGCAAGAGCTTTTTGTGCAGGTTCCTGATGTTCTAGCCCGGCGTGTCAGTTGGGATGCGTTGCCTTGAGGAAAACATGAGTTGCATAAGCGAATTCTCAGGAAGACTGGAAAGATACGATAAACAAACACATCCGCAAAGACGTCATGAGCTGGTCAGATATTCATGTTTATTCTACCTCTTAGAAAAGGCATGGCAACTTGCGGCTATCTCGCTCGCGCGGAGCTTAGGTTTTCCGGGTCTCCACTAGCATGCTTCCTGCGGACTCCCTAGAAATTGAACAATTCTCGAGATTTTCTGGTCTTTCGGCAAAACTAGAGGTTGGACAATTTCTGTGATTTTCGAATCGGGGAACTGTAAAACGTCTCCTGCGGGCTCCCTAGGGGCTGTAAAATCTCGGAGATTTTAGAGCCCTTCAGAAAAGTTAGAGGCTCTAAAATCTCCGAGATTTTTCGTGCGGGCGGCGCGACCAAATCTCGGAGAGTTTTGGTCGTGCGGCCCTTGTGGCCCCGGAGCGGTTTTCCGCGTGATTTATCTGTTTGGCTGTCTGCGCGGCTGCTCGGCGGAGCGCATAGACCCCGGACGGAGAACCAAAATCTTGTTGAATTCATATGTTGGCCGTATCTGTCTATGGGGATTTATTGCGCTCCCCGGAGCCGCCGCGCAGATAGCCCAAGAGAGACTAAATGAGGCGGAAAGATCGGGTTGGATGCGGGGGCCACGTGACCCGAAATCTCTCGAGATTTCGAACCATTTCTCTCTCTTCGGCTGCCTGCGCGGCGGCTCGGTGTAGACCCGGAGTGGAGATCGGTCTGATATATTGATTGTTCGTCGGGATTCACGTGTGATCTTATACGTTCCGCGTGATTTATTTCTCTTTGGTTGTCGGCGCGGTTGTTCGGAGGAGCGCGTAGACCCGGGACGGAGAAACAAAATCTTTCAGAATTTATAGGTCGGCCGTATCCGTTCACGGTGTTTTATGCGTTCCCCCGAACCGCCGCATAGATAGCCCAAGAGAGAGAAATGAGGCGGAAAGACCGGATTGGATACGGGGGCCGCGTGCTCAAAGGGGCGCGTGACCAAAAATCTCTCAAGATTTCGAGATCTCTCTCTCTCTCTCTCTCTCTCTCTCTCTCTCTCTCTCTCTGGCTCTGGCTGTTTGCGCGGCGGCTCGGAGGCGAAATTTCGGGACTGCTACCGACCCGGCGCAACTTCTATAGATTTATAGAGACTATGGATGCTATAGATAGAGATACCAATATCCGCTAATGATGATAATTACGATTTAATATTATTTGCATTCTTTAAATATCTATACGAATATATATTGAATGAAGATTGAATATAAATTAGAAATTAAGTAGAATAATTAGGCGGGAATGAAAGATATTGATATTTTCTGATTTATAGGGTCCTTGCGGTCTTCATTTCACTACTAAGATTTGAATTATGGCCAATTTTCTGAATATTGATGAGAGGCAAAGGATTAGGTATATTGCATTCTATATAATAATCGATGCAATATTCACATCATCTCAGGAAATCTACGAGAATCTTATGAAATCGGGAATGCTATTACTTCCGTCTTCGCTCATAGAATGATTCGATATATTTTTTTTTTTTGCTATTAATTTTCATTCGATATTTAAGTCGAGAAAGGTTAATATTGCTATCTTCATAATCTGAGACGATATTATATTCGCATTCTATATATTTCTAAGAATTTCTATCGATAAATAATATAATATCGTTTATACGTAGATAGTAATGCCCGGAGGGCTCCGAGATTTAATTATTAGATTCTCTTCATTTTCTATATAAGACTATGAAAAAAATTAAAGAATTTGATCTGCTTAGATTTGCTTTCAATATCTTTTTATTATATTTCTTTATTTATTTAAATGTTTGCTTGCTTCGTTGTCACTATTAACCTTCCGAAATAATACGCGTCCAACGATATACGATGAAGATAAGGATCTTCTCCGTTACTGATCTTATAGACGTCTATGAATTTCTCTATGCTCGTACCTCGAGATGCCATGCTGATATTCGATAGCTCAACAAATTTCGATCTATTCGGCCATATATAATTAAACGACGTTATCTAAATATCTAGAGTCTAAGGGGTTTTCTAATAAGATTAGATTATTCTGAAAGGGAGGGCGATTAACTCTCATTGGGATTGATATACTTATAGCCCCCCCAAAATCTGATTTCTCAGGTCTCTATGCCTTGATATAATATTTCATTATCCTTAATGGCTCATCATTGAACGCATGATAAATACGGACTTTTTAGATCCCGGATATTAATATCAATAGTATCCGCAAAATGCCTCAAGATATCATATTGATATCAAGAATTCAACGAATATCTATATATTATAGATCATTTATAATTTCTCGTTATTTAACGTTATTTGGAGATTCAGGGGACTTAGGAAGTAGGTTCTAAATAAATTTTCCAAGTTTTGATTTATCTGCTGATTTATTAAATTCCCGCCTAGAAGTCTTGAAATAATCATTTTCGCCCAGAGGTCCATAATGACCTATAAGGGATCCCCAAAAATGAATAATTTCCTTTATATATTGCGGCATTCAATTAAATTACGCTAAATATGGAGGTCAGAGAATTTATTCTAATAAATAGAATCTGAATGAGACGGATTAATTGGAGATGCTATATTCATGATCTCTATCAGCCAAAAATTATTCACTAAGACTCCTAAATTCTCAATACTTCTTCAAGCAACGTTTCGTTCTCCTAGAATGGTCGTGCGATGCGCCGCATTTACGTATTACGTGCCGGGTTCGCGCGCGCCCTTATAGGCCACTACGGAGCTTCATAGATCATTACGGGCTCTTACGGACTCTTATGGGCTCTTACGGGCTCTTACGGGCCCTATGGGTCCTACGGATCCTCTACGGACCTATAGATCTCAAGGTCCCGGCCTCTCAGGAGATCAGAGCCAATTCAATGGAACTTATCCGAGGCAGAGATCCAAAATCTTTCAGAATCTATAGCTTGGTCGTTTTTGGTCACGTGCGGTATTATATGATAATTATTCATCGAGCTTCATATATGATCTTATTCGTTGCTTATTCATCGAACTTCCTCTTATGGGTATTTTCAAATAAATATTTTTCCGTTCTTGTAGGTAGCGGGTCAATTCTAATCTCTCTCTATTTCACGATTTATTTAGACGTCAATAGATCTCTTTGATAACAGATTTATCTGTCTTATACTTATATTTTTTGATATTAATATATAGGACAAAATTATTTAATAAATTTAATGATCTATCATATTTTAATTATATAGAATAGACGCAAGCAATTTTATTCGTTTTTCCCTATATTTATTTATAGGATTCTAATTATTAAGTGCGTCGTCCAGCTCCCGCAACGTGCTCTTCCGTCGCGCAAATATTTTTGATACGCTGACGTTGACTTAAAAATCGCGCTCTCGCTCGAGCGTCCTCAAAACGGTGAATATCACGATATTGTGTCTGAGAGGTCAGATTGCCTTTAAAACTAGTCTTGCTAGGGGGAATCGAAATGAATTGGACGATCCCCTGATTCTCATTTTTTTTTCAAAAATCGCGTTCTCGCTCGAGACATCCTCAAAAAATCGTATTTTATGACTTTATCTCGCTTTATATAAATCAAAAATTGAGCAACATTGTCGGACAAGCGTTTTTTTTTTTGGAGCCTCTGATCATTTTTTATCTTCAGCCTATCTCCAAAAATCGCGCTCTTGCTGAAGACGTCCTCGAAATTTCGGTGATTTTATATCGATTTTATTTTCGTTCAAATCGATCAAAATTTCGCTCCCGTAGAGAAAATCCTGAAAATTTCATAATACGATTTTCAGAAATCGCGCTCCGGATCAAGATATCCTCGAAATTTCGATTTACCTTCTCAAGAGAGAGATTCTTGGGAGGTCGTTTTGATATAGGATTGAAATAAATTCGACGGATTCGTTATTCGATTTTTGATCATTTGAAGAACGATTTCTATTCCAATTCTATATCAAATTGATCCGCTCAAGATCGTTCTCTTTTGATCAAAATCACGCTCCCGTGCGGAGCGGCTTGAAAAGTTTGAGAACAATCGCGCTCCCGTGCTGAGCGTCCTGAAAATTTTGAGAAAAATCGCGCTCCCGTGCTGAGCGTCCTGATAATTTTCCAAAAATCGCGCTCCCGTGCTGAGCGTCCTGAAAATTTTGAGAAAACTCGCGCTCCCGTGCTGAGCGTCCTGATAATTTTGAGAACAATCGCGCTCCCGTGCGGAGCGTCCTGATAATTTTGAGAAAAATCGCGCTCCCGTGCTGAGCGTCTTGAAAATTTTGAGAAAAATCTCGCTCCCGTGCTGAGCATCTGGAAAATGTTGAGAAAAATCGCGCTCCCGTGC